TAAAATCCACGCCGAGCAATAAGACATGGACCTGCACGAAGCGTCACAAGAAGAAGGCATCAGTACCGGAGTTCATATTTCATACTCAGCGGCGCAACAACAATAACATCCGACAACACGAGCACCAAGCACGAAGATACGTACCACCGTTTTGTCACCTCTGCAAAACGTCAGGGCACTCTCTCGCACACTAGTGCAATCAACACCACCACCACTCCAGCTTCGACCTTCAAGCAGTCAGGTGGCTTCCATACAGCCACATCCTTCCAACGAGGCGTCGTCTTCAACAACAACATCACAACCAGCACGAGGAACAAGAAATATCATAAGTTGCATGACAAGAACGGACTCCTGCATCACCGGCTCACCACCGACGTATTCACCTGAAGAACAGCTTGACGAAAGCCCGCCCTGTCGTGAATCGCTGTAACCAAACCCGACGTACGCCGCCATAGCACAGAGCGAACCATTCGGTCAAGATACTTGGTTCTTGGACAGATGTTGCCGACAACATATGTGCTCATCAAACCGCTTCGTCCAACAGGAACAACACCTCAACCGGGATGTCGTGATCATCGTTGCCAACAACCAGAACTTGCGCACACGACTACAAGGAGTAATTCAACTTCAGTCCCGCGAGACCAATGTCGTCTTACAAATGTGAAAGGTTTTAATTGCAGAAGGACTGGGCTACAACTTACTCAGCGTCAGCCAGCTCATGGCAAAATGAATTGATCTTGAAGCCGACAGCACAACTCCGGAATTCAGACTGTACAACGGAAGGGACAGGCTTTACATCGGAAGAGCGGTCATAAAGAAAAACGTCTTCGTTCTTGATTTCGTCCCAGATCAAGGCACCGCTGACAGCGACGTGATTGTTAACTTCACCACTTGGTCGCACCCACCAGATCTCGACCCCGACTTCAGCCCTGGAGGATTCTGGTACTCACACACCATACCTGAAACACAATGAACAAGGGCGCTAGTGGTGATCCAAGAGACATTAGGAGAAGCATCAACATCGGCAGCAGCAGAGACAACTGCAGAAGAGACAGCAGCAGTGACAATGGGAGCAGCAGCGGCAACATCGGCAGAAGCAAAGACAACGACACCAGTACCAACGCCCGTTCAACAGTTGATTCCCGCCCCACGCAACGTTCACCGAAGCGCCAACATCATTGCCAGTTTTTACTCCAACTCCGATGTGTACTGACGTTCACCTGGACATCGCACTGACGAATCATTATGGCATCAAAGGTTAGGGCATCCTAGCAACACAACACTGAACAACACGACAGTAGCAGGAGTGCTCGATAAAGACTCACTCCTCGTACCCGACGGTAGAGAACTTCAACGAGTCCGCGGAACCTACTTTACCTGCCCTGAAGCCGACTTACCCCATCATCCGTTTGTCTCTCATCACAACCCAAGTGCGCCAGCCTATGCACCACTGGAGAAGGTTTACAGCGACATAATGTACGCCCGCGAAAGCTGACAAGGAGCCTACAACTATGTCATCACCTTCATCGATGCTGCCACCAGATACATCTGGCACCTCAATCTTCCGAGTTGCAACATGGCCTTCACCACACCAGCAAATGAGGCTGATTGGGATGAGCAAAACGTGGACAGAGTATCCGAGGAAGCCGGACCCCTTCCTTACTGCTCGATACCTATTTTGATGGACGACGAAAATCCTCGCGAAAGCATCAACGCCGAAGTCTACTACAACTTCGCCGACAATGGTTACGTTACACCCCAGCTGGTCAACACCAACGTTTTGGAACGCATAGGCTCCAACTTCCTACCTGATCCAGAAGCGGGAGACGAAGCAATCTATCCTGAGGACCCAAATCTCCCTCGCTACACACAGAGTGGGCTGCAGATACCCGGACTCGTCATCGCCATCCACAGAGCATCGCCGCCAAAGGAGCCTGCCACTGTTCAGCAGGCTCTTGGGGGGTGCACAGGAAAAAATGGCGCGAAGCCATGGACAGGGAATTAAATGCGCTGGAAGACAGAAACACCTGGATGATAGTACCCATCGGAGTGGCACGCAACAAAACTATCCTCACGCGAAAGTGGGTCTTCCGCGTGAAGTCAAAAGTTGACGGAACAATTGACAAGTTCAAGGCACGATGGGTCGTGCGCGGCTTCGATCAAGAGCATGGACAAGATTTCATTGAGACCTTCGCGCCGGTCAGCCGACATACCTATTTGCGAATCCTTCTCGCAATAGCCCCCATGAAGTGGAAGAAGCTCCGCCAAATCGACGTGGCTAACGCGTTCCTCTACGCTCTCGTCTACGCCGAGATCTTCGTCGAGCAACCACACAGATCCGACACAAACCCTAATCAATTCTGTCAGCTGCTAAAGTCCCTGTACGACATCAAGCAAGCTCCGCGGCTGTAGCAACAGTACCCACATGCCCGATTAATCCGCATAGGCTTTCGGCAATCACCACACGACCAGGTTATGTACCAACTTATGAAGGAAGCCGAGTACATCTTACTGGTCGTGTATGTAGACAACATGCTCTACATAGGCTCTACCGACGGCATCACCAACTGGTTTGAAGGGGAGCTGCAACAGGATCTCTCACTCACGGTTTCTTCTACCGTGACTCAGTACCTTGGACTCAACATACTCGACGGAGAGAGCGCGATCTACCGTAGCGCCGCAAAATACGCTGACACAGTCGCCAAACGCTTTGGATTAACATCAGCCGTCATCTCCACGCCCTATTGCTACACCGCCGGAAATCACCAGGAAAAATCTAACCTGCTCGGATTTGCCGAACTACGCAACTACCAACGAAAACTGGGCTGCCTGCTCTTCGCAGCTGTTACCTGCCGACCGGACCTGTAATACTCAGCAAGTCAGCTTTCTACCTACCTCAAGCGGCCCGAAGCAGAGCACATTGCCGAACTCGACCACGCCTTACACTACCTCGTCAACACACCAACGATCGGCCCAACCTACCACAAGACCAGAACCACTACTCCAACGCTAATCGGCTACGTGGATGCTGACCATGCAGGCGATTCTGATAGCAGGCGATCACGCAACGGCTACATCTATCGACTCGAGCCCGTCTGTCCTATCTCGTGGCAGTTGAGTAAGCAAGAACTAATAGCTCTCTCCTCTGCTGAAGTTGAATACATAGCACTCTGCTCAGCCACCAAGGAAGGACTGTACCTTCGCGAACTACTAGAAGAAGCAAAGCTGTCACAGTTACCCAGCTTCTCCCTCTTCTGCGACAACTAATCTGCAATTCGCATATCGAACAAGAGTGGGTTCGCGAACCGAAAGAAGCACATTGCCCTGCGCTATTTCTTTGTGAAGGACGAGATCGAGAAAGGGAGACTCGAGCTATCCTATTGTCCCATGTCCGAGATGGCAGCAGACTACTTGACCAAGAAACTCGGAAAGTAGAAGTTCGAGTACTGCATGCTGCTGACTGGGCAAGGCCACGTCATCAACAACGAAGGCGACGACACTCCAGAAGTGAAGGGGAGTGCTGGAAGCATATAGTTCGCACTTCTGATGTGTCGAATACTACAACGAAAGCGAAGCGAACTATAGCGAAACAACAGCGAGTCAACCAAAGCGGTTGACAGAAAGACAATAGCAAGAGGTTGAGTGAAGGTCTAAGGTCAACGACCTTTGACTCGCCAAAGGCAGCGCGGCAGCAAGGACACATAACTAACTCGATATTCGAGTTATCCGAGTCGTCGCTGTATCGAACCGCAACAGCAGTTACAGTTAGTTGAACCTTTCGTATTCTTTGTAATCATGTAAAAGCTTGTATCTCTTTGTTATTATCAACTTATCTTGTTCTCACACACCAGTGCAAGGTGGTTCAATTAGTTTACTTATACGCTTCTGCTGATACATCTCTACTCTGAGAGTCCTGAAAACGATCCTAAGGGCTTTTCTCAGCCCAACAACTGCTCAATAGAGACTCAGTTATGTCTCCTTGTTGTCGCGCTGCTTTTCGGCGAGTCCTTCACTTACCGTCACCCCCCGGATATAAGCGCCACCCTAGGATAAGCGCCTAGCGCTTCTAATTGGCATATGGCGCTTATATCCCCTCCTCGATTATAAGCGCACCCCCTGAAAAAACTAGTTTTATTATAAGCGCACGTAAACTTTAAAATTTGAAATGTGTACAAAACGTTGTAATGATTTTTACTTTAGCAGGCAGATATGTTGCAGATTCGGTTCCCTTCACATTCGGACCCTGCACTGGATGCGGGTCCAGTCAGCAGGAGCTGTCAGGAGCTGGATGTGAGTCAGATTGGGTGTGTCTCCCAGCGCGCGCGAGAATTTCACAGACGACCCCATGTAAATTCGACTCGATTGAAAGGGCAAGCACGAGACCTACAGTTTGGTGTTAAACAATATAAAAAATATGAATGTCATTTTATAAACGCCGGCGCTTATAAATTTACTCGATTATAAGCCCACCCCCTTGAAAAAACCTGTTTTATTATTGCCCCCCATGGGGGTATATCCGGGGGGTGACGGTAACCTAGTGCTTTTGTCTTTCTGTCAACCGCTTTGGTTGACTTGCTGTTACTTCGCTATAGTTCGATTCGCTTGCCTTGTAGTGCTTGACACATCAGAAGCGTAAACTATATGTTTCCAACAATAATATATATGTTTATTGATTCTAAAGCGACCTTGGGAATCCACTCATGTAAGAACTCCACAACCAGAGGTGGCCTATTGATTAAAGGTATATCTCAACTGACAAGCATGCGATGCTCCGTTTTTATGCCTTTGTAAACGCAAAATGTCGACGCTTTTCTGCCAACCTGCCCCTAGATGATTAAGGATACTCTAACCAATTCTAGGCCCTGGGTAGGTTTTGCTCATGCAGTGTGGATCTGTGTTTATGAAAAAGAATGGCATGTTATAGTTACAGGACACATAGGCTTGTACAGTTGTCCGCACATCGATAGGAACAAGCTGACATGACACAAGTTTGTTGCCCATCACTGTGGCTGCTCCTGGCCTTCACAATCCCTTGAAAACACACACGTGAAATCCCCCGTGCCGCCCACTATCCGCACAAAGTCATTCCGGCAGAACAGGCCGGCATCCCGCGCCACACAGCGCTCCCCAAACCGCCTCTCCGCCCACCCTGGCAGCTCCTCCGGCCGCACCACCTCCCCCATGCCCCCCCGCCCTGCCGCCACCACCTCCCTCGCCGTGCCAAGTATCACTCTCAGGTCGCTCAAATCCTCCTCTGTGAGCTCCACCCGCCGCCGGTGCGTGAAATACTCCTTGCACTCGGGATGCCCGTGCGTGCAGTCGTACAAGCTCAGCCCGTCCACCTCAGCGCGGTCCCCTGCCTGGAAGCTTCCTCGGCGGCACATCTTCATGAAGTAGGGGAGGCCGGCACTTAAAGCCATGGCGTAGTAGGTCTCGTGCAGCACGTGGTACGGCATGATCTCCACCACTGCCGTGGTGCGCCGTGCAAAGAGCGGCGGGTTGGCGAGCGCGGCGCCGTGCAGGGAGAGGATGATGTCGGCCGACTGGATGGCGTCAAACTGCTGCTTGAAGGTCAGCTGGCTCAGCTCCGCCATGCTCACCTGGTGGGAGGGATGAGGGGACGGGGGGATGGGGGAGGTGGGGAAGGGGGAGAGGGGAGGGAGGAGGGTGCGCATGGAGAGAAATATTAGAAAGACGCCTCAGAAAGTGGTGCTGGAAGGTCAGCTGGCCCAGCTTCGCCCTGCTCACCTGGTGTGAGGGGAGGGTGTTGGGGCAGACGAGCACGCATGCGAATTATGGACACTGTGTGGAACTGCATACATGAGCAGCAGAGGTGGGAGGGTGATGATACAGCAAAGGCCAGTGCTGGCTCCGCCGGGGCTCGGGTCACAAGGAACCGCCATTTTTGTTCGGCTGTGCTACCTCTCACGTCATATAAGACATGTGCACTCCACCCTCTATGCACCCTCAACGCCACACGCCATGCCCATTCTCATTGTCCCGTGTTGATCTCCTATCACCCGCTCACCTCCATGTGCATCTCTGCCATCAGTTGCAGCAGGGCCTCACATGGCTGGGTGCTGACTGAGCTCCCCCAGGCGAGTTATGAGTCATGAATCATGAGGCAATGGATTACAAGTCGCACCTCCATGTTCATCTCCTCCATCACTCGCAGCAGCGCCTCGTGGCTCTCCGGCACGAACGTGCGGCGCTGCCTGAGCTCCGCCCCCAGGCGGGTGATGTACAGCACGCGCGCCCGCCACCCCTGCGCGCCCTCCGGCCCCCACAGCACCACGGGGGGCGGCTGCAGGCGCAGCTTCACCCGCAGGTGGCGCTGCAGGTAGCCGGCCTGGGCGGGTGACGAGGGGAACACCTGGCCCTGTTGGGGGGAGGGGAAGAGGGGCCTTCTGAGTCAATTCTAAAGCTTCACACGCACTGCAGTGCAGAGGTGGCTCTGTGGGGAAGAATAGAGGGAGGGCGATAGAACCCAAAGAGATTGAAGCTCAAGTTGCTGGGAGGGAGGGTGGATGGCACGTGAGAGGCAGGTTGCTGTGCTTGTGGCACTGCTGGTAGCCTGCCAGCACCGGGGAGGAGAGGGGGCTTGGGCGTGCAGGGAGGGAGGGAGGCACACGTATCCTGAATGAGCCCGCACGTGCCCCACGAGGAGGCTCCACACATAGCTGTTTTCGCAGGTGGCGCTGCAGCAGGGCTAGTCCAGCTGCAGAGGGGAGGTGGTTCAGACTAGCCTTGCTGTGAGGGGAGGTGAACACATGGAGAAGCTTGATTGCGCTTGATGCGACTTGGTGCGACGTGGAGAACACATGGGAAGGCTGGCTGAACAAGCGATGAAGGCTATGCTGTGATGTGCTGTGTTGCGCTGTGCTGTGCGGTGCTAAGTGAACAGTCATGTGGGCCGCAGTGTACAGCCACGTGAAACCAGAGAAGGGTGAGCGCGGTGCACAGAGGAGTGCCGGCAGTGACATGTGCGTGCATGGAAGTTGGGAGGTGAGGATGGGACATGGAGAGAATGAGGAAGATAGGGAGGGAGGGAAGAGGGGAGGACGATATCCGATTCCAACTCACATGAAAGCAAATCTGGAATACCTGAGAGTTAAATTGGGACACCTGAGAATCCACCAGGGACACCTGAAGCCCTGGGGCACGTTGGGCTCACCTTGAGTATCCCCGGCAGCAGCACCCGCTGGAAGCACAGCGGCTCCTCCTCCGTGGCGCGCCGCCACGCGCCCTCAAACTCCACCAGCCCGTTCGCCATGGGCTCGTCCCCCAACGTGCGGTGCTCGTGCCTGCCTTGCCATGGGGCCGTGGGGGTGGTGGGGGTGGTGGGGGTGGTGGGGGTGGTGGGGAGGAGAGGGTGGTGGGGAGGAGAGGGTGGTGGGGAGGAGAGGGTGGTGGGGAGGAGAGGGTGGTGGGGAGGAGAGGGTGGTGGGGAGGAGAGGGTGGTGGGGAGGAGAGGGTGGTGGGGAGGAGAGGGTGGTGGGGAGGAGAGGGTGGTGGGGAGGAGAGGGTGGTGGGGAGGAGAGGGTGGTGGGGAGGAGAGGGTGGTGGGGAGGAGAGGGTGGTGGGGAGGAGAGGGTGGTGGGGAGGAGAGGGTGGTGGGGAGGAGAGGGTGGTGGGGAGGAGAGGGTGGTGGGGAGGAGAGGGTGGTGGGGAGGAGAGGGTGGAAACGAGGGTAGAGGGGGCTGTGGGTGAGAGGAGTGGCAGGAGAGCAAGGCTTTATGGAAGCTCTGGAAACCCAAAAACGGGCAGGTCTGAGCGGCAAAATCCGCTTAAAGCCAGGATCTCAAGTAAGAGATTTTGCCATCAATTGCAAAACACTTGAAGCTGAGTTACCCCGTTTTTGTAGGCGAGGTAGACTGGATAGCTAGGGAAATTGACAGGAGGGGATTGACACACTGTGCTCCGCTGCTCTAACGAACACTGCCCTGTCCTGACTCATTACTGTATATCCGTTGTTGATCTACTCCAGAGCTAACTTTTGAGCTCATTTATATTCTGCTTCAGTTTTAGCCTGTACGTTTTACCGTAGTACTGCTTCGTGGAGAGGGAGGTGGCGGGATGTACATCCGTGGTGCGAGGAGCGAGGTGAGCGATTTAGCAAAGGGCTGAGACGGGGGCAAGCAGAAGAACAGCACGTACAGCTGAGAGGAGGTGTGCATCTGTGGCGTGAGGAGAGGCGTGAGGGCAAACTCAATGAGCGCCTGTAGCACCAACGCGTGGATGGCGTAGCCACCCCCCATGCGCCACCTGCCGTGTTGCAGGGTGAGGGGGCAGAACGGAATAAGGTGGAATGAGGAGAAGGTGGATGGATGGTGCTGAAGCAGCGGTGGCTCAGATGAACTCGTTGGCAGTGCTATTGCACTCTGATCAACACTCTGGCATCACTCTGATCAACACTCTGGCATCACTCTATGTAGCTCTACATAGTACACTCCTTCCAAGGCGGCTCGTGCAGCACTTGGGCATCATCCCAATCCACACATGATTCACGCATCACCATTCCCCGATGGGTGGACCGTGTGCCGGTGCGGACTCGATGGAGTGCAGCACTGATATGCAGTGCACACTGGATATCACTGTGCGGGTGCCGTGCAGGGTAGCGTACCGTTCGAGCGTGAAGTCGTCGCGCGGCAGCATGAAGCGCGCCACAAGGGGGTGCAGCACGGGCGGGTCTGTGAAGTTGTTGGCCAGCAGCAGCGTGAACGCCTTGCCTGGTGGCCGGGGGGACAGGTGGACGAAAGAGGGGATTGGGAGTGCAGAAGACAAGAGGGCTGCTGGCAGCACTGGTACGTCCGTGACGTTGGTGGCCAGCAAGAGAGTGCACGCCTTGCCTGGTGGCCGGGGGGTGGAGAGGAGAGGAGAGGAGAGGAGAGGAGAGGAGCGGGGAGGAGAGGTTGGGGGGCCTGGCTAGATACACAAAGAACAAGCGCGTGGAAGAGAGCATGGGAAGACAGCATGGAGGAAAGGGTGTGTGGGAAAGGGTGTGTGGGAAAGGGTGCGCACCAAAGTGTATGGCAGAAATGTGTGGGCAGTGCGTAGGGGACAGAAGATGAGGGGCTGTCGCAGAAGTTGTGCAGGAACAGAGAACAGGCCCAGGGGGGTGACGAACAGGCGAGAGAGGGTGAAAGGGGGAGAGGAAACTGTAAGACGGAGATGATGGGAATCATGATGGGCGGGCATGATGGGCGGGCATGATGGGCGGGCATCATGGGCAGGCATGATGGGCGGGCATCATGGGCAGGCATGATGGGCGGGCATCATGGGCAGGCATGATGGGCGGGCATCATGGGCGGGCGGGCATAATCCACACACAAGCGACGCACCTATGAAGTGAGCCACGTTCACGGCCTGGTAGTCAAACCGCTGCAACAGCGTGAGCCCAAACCGCCACTCCACTCGCCGCCGCGTCTCCAGCCACCCCTTCCCCTCCACCGCCCCCTCTCCCCCCTCTTCCCCCCCTCCTTCCCCCCCTCCTCCCCCGCCTCCCCCAGCAGCCCGGAGGTGCACGAGCGAGTTGACGGCCTCGTCTGTGACCACGCGCAGCGCCTCGCTGAACTCCACCGCCTTGTGGCACCCCACCGCCCGCAGGATGGGCTTGCCCTCGTTGGGGGGCGGCGGGGCGTGCTCCCTCGCTGCCTCGCACTGTGGCTGCCCCAGCGAGATCATCTGCCGTTGTGTGTGCAGGGCGAATTGGAGAGAGGGAGCGGAGCAGCATGAAGGAATGGCGCACACGGGCGAGAAGAGGCAGAGACATTACGTTTTTGAGGATATGGATGGGAGAGGCCATCCAGATACATGTGGGTTGCAATCCTCTTGCAAAACACCCACCCCACCTCTTGCCCGTTCCAGCACATGGGCTCACTCTCACCCAAGAAGCACAAGAAGCAGAGGTTCCACCCAACCCACCTGCTGCCCGTTCCAGCACATGGGGCAGCACCCACCTGCTGGCCGTTCCAGCACATGGGCGAGCAAAGGCAGAGGTTCTGCGAGCAGCAGTAGTTGTTGCGGATGTGGTAGCACGAGCACCCCGTGCGCTGCTGACTCAGCGCCACCACGTCAGCGCTGCTATCAAATGACGCCAGCAGATCCTCAACCTGAGCAGTGGAGGTGAGCAGGGGAGGTGAGCAGGAGAGATGCCCCGAAAGTATGGGGAGTGGGAAAACAACACGAAAGTGATGATGAATAGAAGGAGTGCATCGAGGGTTGGCATGATGGTAGCAGTGCACTTTCCAGCGCCTGCACTTTCCAGCGCCTGCACATCAGATCCAAGCGGTGGCCTCAGAGGTGCCATGTCAGCGTGCTTCTCAAATCGCGGCAGCCAGGAGTGCGGGGATTGAAAAGCACAAGGCGAGGTGAGAGAGCAGCGCAGTGGGATGTTGAAGGTGATGGCGCGAAGAGTGAGGGAGTGAGGCATTGAGGGGAGTGAGGGAGTGCGGGAGTGAGAGACTGAGGAGTGAAGGAGTGAGGGGGTAAAGAAGTTGTGATGGCTCTACCAAAAGGAGCGAGTTTGGGGGGTTGGGCGGAGGGAGGAGGGGAGGTGGTGGGGGGACGGGGCATGCACGGATGAACGGGCTTCTTGTGGGAGGTGTCAGGTGGGGGCGACAAGGGGGGTGGGGGCGACAAGGGAGGGGCGTGGTGGATGAGAAGGCAGGGGAGAGGAGAAGAGGGACGGGTGAAGGGGAGAAACAGAGGGGGTCAACGGAATGGGAAGGTTGGGGAAGTGGGAGGGGCGAGCGCTGTGAGGGGTTGTTTGAAGTCGACTCAAAAGGCGCACGAGGGCGACTGCGCGCGGGGCGACGCGCGAATTCCCATCGGTGAAGTAGGGAAGGCGAGCGGGGAGGACGGGAAGGACGGGGGAAAGGGGTTGGAGGGGAGCGGGTGTGGGTGGTAGAAGGGTGTGCGGCGAGGCAATGCACGTTTCCTTGCCACAGGGCCATCACATCCACCTTTCACCACCCGCCAATCACCACCCGCCAATCACCATCCCCCACGTACGCGCTGTCGGAAAGCGTCCTCCATCTCGGGGTGCTTCCGCGGCCGCTCGCGAATCAGCGCGCCCACCCGCGCCACGCCGTACCCGCGTGACGCGCGCGCGCACGTATCATGTGGCGGGCTGATGTGCCGGTTCGGCGAGGGGTGGAGGAGAAGAAGCGCGAGAAGCAAAGCGCGGAGGCAGCCGAGGCGCATCGGCAGATGGGAGCGATGGAGCATTCGATCGGAGTGCGGCTCGCGGCGAGGAGGTGTGAGCTGGCAGTGTGTGTGGCGACGCCATGGCGTCATGCTGAACAGTCGTGTTTGTTTCTGCGAGCGCCGTTTCAACTGGCTTCAGTCGCGATCGATGTTTCCGTCCATAGCGCGGTGCGTTTCGATTACAAGTCTCGCGGATTCCGAAGTTACGCTTGAGGCACTTGAAGCATCACAAACGGTTAGTGCGTTATTAGGAACTTGGACTGTACAATGGTAGCATACTTACTGCCTACACAATGGTTGTTTCAGTATGTATACATGCCGAACTGTACTTTAACCAACCAAAAAAGGTCGTTTCACTTACTTTTAGGACACCTCATATCTCAAGGTGCTACTGGTGTCACCGTCACATACATACACATACGACTTACTACACTCTGCTGGAAGCTACTATAATAACTCAGATGTGTCACCGCTAGCATTTCTTTGTTGTAAAACACACAGCAGCACATGGCATGCGGGTGGGGTGTATGAGGGTGCAAGGCTGCGAGCGAGGCTATGAGGGAGGGGCCTTGACCTCGAGCAGCTCCACTGTGAGCTGGATGGTGGCGCCCGGCTGGCACATGGGGGTGGGGTGGGGTGGGGTGGGGAGCAGGAGGAGAGTAAGGGTGAAGCGGTGACGGTGGCATGGGCATGAGCATGAGCATGGACCCATGACATGCTGGCGCGCGATAGAATGGATGCCAGGGCATGGTATGTCACAGCATGGTATGACACAGCATGGTATGGTAAAGGTGTGGAACATTTGGGATATTTTCCAAATGAATGGTACGGTTCGAAAGAGTACCACTCTGAAACGAACGAAGAACTTTCTTCAGCATAGCGTTTATTAAAATGACAAATTTCAACCGTTCAGGCAGTACAGTTCGTTTGGAGCATTTCCCGGGTGTTCCAAGCCCTAAAGCATGGTTTGTTTTACTATGGTATGGTATGGTATGGCATGGTATGGTATGGTATGGTATGGTATGGTATGGTATGGTATGGTATGGTATGGTATGGTATGGTATGGTATGGTATGGTATGGTATGGTATGGTATGGTATGGTATGGTATGGTATGGTATGGTATGGTATGGTATGGTATGGTTTGGTATGGCATGGCATGGCATGGCATGGTATGGTATGGTATGGTATGGTATGGTATGGTATGGTATGGTATGGTATGGTATGGCATGGTATGGTATGGTGTGGTATGGTATGGTATGGTATGGTATGGTATGTATGGCATGGCATTGGGTGGAATGGCATGGCATGTTATGGCACGGCATGGCATTGGGTGGAATGGTATGGCATGTTATGGCATGGAATGGCATCTCTCATGCTTTTACACGGCATGATTTGGCATGGTGTGGTATGCCATACTATGCCATGGCATTGCATGGTTTGGCATGGCATGGTTTGACACAGCATGTTTTGAAATGACGTGGTATGATATTTAGTATGGATGGCAAGCCATGGCCAGGCATGGCATGGCACGCATGGCATGGTGATGGAGCTCACAGGGATTTCAGCGAAGCCCTTGTCACCGTAACCTTGCTCCGGCGGCACAATCACTGTGCGCTGTGGGGGAGACAGAGCAGATGCGAGGGAGTGAGAGAAATAAGAGGGGATGCAAGGATGAGGGGATGCAAGAAGAGAATGAAAGCAGTAGGGATGCGCGGGGTGTGGCTCGCATGTACTGCACTGTTTTGCCCAAGCAGGTGTGGCTCGCATGTACTGCATTGTTTTGCCCAGCAGGTGTGGCTCTCATGTACTGCACTGTTTTGCCCAAGTTCCTGAAAGTGTATTGGGCGACACGGGGTGCTTCTCTCCCTCACCCCCCTTCCCTCACCTTGCCGCCCTCACCCCCTTTCCCTCACCTTGCCGCCCTCACCCCCTTTCCCTCACCTTGCCGCCCTCGCGCATGCCCTCCACCACGCTGTAGAGCGCGCGGGGCGGTTTGGGAGCCGCCTGCGCGGAGAAGAGCCCGTTGGCCGACTCCGCGTACTCACGCTTCCTCTCCGCGCCCGGCTTGGCGCCTAGTGAGAACTCGTATGGCTGGGGGAGAGAGGTGGGGGTGTGGGGATGTGGGGGGAGTATGGGGGGAAAAAGTGGATAAGAACGAGCGGGATGAGTGGTGTGGACTTGCGTTGTCGTGCTTCTTCTCCGCTCCTGGCTTGACGCCCAGGGAGAACTCGTACGGCTGGGGGGGGAGGGGAAGGGGGGGGGAGGAGTGTAAACGTGTGAGTAGGGTGAGTGGCATGGACTTCGTTCCCCGCTTCCTCTCCTCGCCCGGCTTGGCGCCGAGTGAAAGTTCGTATGGCTGGGGGCGAGGGGGAGTGGGAAGGGGGAGGGAGAAGTGGATGCTATTATCTCTCTATTCCGTGCCTGGCTTTGCCGCCCAGGGCGAACTTGGAGGAAGCTGGGAGCACCTGGGGGGGGGGGAGAGGGGGGGAGAAGGGAAGGGGAGCAGGAGGGGCGGATTGGAGAGGGCCCGTTTGTGGCAAGAGGAGTGGGGTGGGGCAGTGAGGAAGTGAAAAGGAAGAGCCCGTGGTGGTTGGGGGTGGGATTCGAAGGGGGAGCAGGCCTGCCGAAAGCTAGAGTGAGAGGAAGAACGCACAGTCAAGGGCTGGATAAAACGGAAACGATGTTACAATGAGCAACGGGGCCCGATGGTTTATCACTGTGTTGCTCATCAGGTAGAGAATGACCACCCTGCGACACGACTCCGTTGCCCTGCGATATGATTTGGCTGCATGGAAGATATGATTCTGCGGGCGCACCTGGGAGATGACGCGGTTGCCGCCCAGCAGCTTGGACTGACGGCTGGACACCACCGTGAGGCTGCGATACGTCACGTCAAAGTGCACCTGGGGGGGGGGAGAGGGGGGGAGGGGAAGGGGGGAGGGCCGGAGGAGGCGTGGGAGGAGGAGAGGGTTGACTGAGAACACACTTGGACTGGCGGGTGGACACCACCATCAGGCTGCGATAGGTCACGTCAAAATGCACCTGGGGGGAGTGGGGAGTGGGGAGGGGGGAGGGGGGAAGGGGTGAGGAGGGGTTGGGGAAGAGAATCGTGGGGAGAGTGAGAGTCGGGAGGGTGGGACGGAAAAGCGGAAAGTGTGAGACAGTCGGCGTGGTGGAGTGGAGTGGGGACGATGCGTGGAGAAGCGTGAGGAGGAGGGTAGAGGAGGGAGGGGTGTGGCGGGCGAGCTGAGACGCGCGTGCATGTGGAGCGAAACCGCTTATTTGCTTGTCCTGGAGCAGCATGGCTGCACTTGCATGAGCTGTGCAGCAGTGACGCACGCCTGGCATGTTGTGCCTTTCGTCTCTCCTCCCCCTCCTCTCTCCCCCCTCGCCCCATCGTCCCACCCTTCCCCTCCCCCCCCTTCCCTCGCCCCCCCTCACCACGACGGGGTCGCCCTGCTCCGCCAGCCTGCCCTTGCCCGCCGCCACGTCGTAGAAGCGCAAGCCGCTCTCTGCCGCACCCACACACCGGCGGGGGGAAGGGGAGGGGAGGGAAGAGAGGGGGGGAGGAAGACGGGATGGGAGGGAATGAATGTCCCGCGCGTGGTGTGGTGCGTGTGCTGCGCCTGTTGGCGCTACTCTGGAGTGCGAGCAGCAGCGCTGGGATGGCCGCACGGAGCGTTGGGCGAGTGAAGCAGCCCAGAAAGCACCGAGCTATCCGCCGTCCCTCAGACGCCTCTCGCACTCACCGCCCTCTGCGCTCACCGCCCTCTGCGCTCACCGCCCTCTGCGCTCACCGCCCTCTGCGCTCACCGCCCTCCGCACTCACCGCCCTGCGCGCTCACAGCCCTCTGCACTCACCGCCCTCTGCACTCACCGCCCTCTGCACTCACCGCCCTCCGCACTCACCGCCCTCCGCACTCACCGCCCTCCGCACTCACCGCCCTCCGCACTCACCGCCCTCTGCACTCACCGCCCTCTGCGCTCACCGCCCTCTGCGCTCACCGCCCTCTGCGCTCACCGCCCTCCGCACTCACCGCCCTGCGCGCTCACCGCCCTCCGCACTCACCGCCCTCCGCACTCACCGCCCTCTGCACTCACCGCCCTGCGCACTCACCGCCCTGCGCACTCACCGCCCTCCGCACTCACCGCCCTCTGCACTCACCGCCCTCCGCACTCACCGCCCTCTGCACTCACCGCCCTTCGCACTCACCGCCCTCTTGGTACATCTCCTCGGGAATGTCGATCCTCGTCCGCCTTTCCCGCGCCATTGCCTCGTCGGCGCCGCCGTTTCCGGAACCGAAGAGCGAATCCAGCGCCGGCAGCAATGCGAGCGACGACAGCACGGCGCGTCTCGTCACGCTGACGTCATCGTTCGGGTTAGACGTAACGTTGCGGGTACTCGAGATGGAATCCGCGGCTTGTGTTCGCACGGATTCGCGAAGTGTCGCGGCATTCGCGAATTCGGCACTAGCTTGACATGTAACAGTTGAAGCGCCGGTCGACAGGCGCTGGTTAGCAGAGAGAGGTTGAGTGATGGTGTCCGGTCGGGTAACCAGCCGCAATGCGGGTTCCAACGAAACGAGCGACATAGTCAATGGCTGGACACCCGAACATGTAGCGGTGGTACCTTGGCTCGCTCAAATGAGGGTGTGGTGGATTGTGCGGAAGCAGAGAAACGACGGACGAGTGAGATGAAGGGTTATGTGAGGAGGTATTTTTAGATTGCGGCAGTGGGGGGAGCAGGGTAGGCGAGGCGGTGCCTAGTTGCAGATTGCAAGCGACGAACTCCGAGAATGGCGACCGTTGTTGCGACGCTGCGAAATTAGCTTACATCGAAAACACATTATTCGCTTGCTGGGCCGCACGACACATTTCGCCGACGACGACATTTCTTCCACCAGCCGCTCGTTCGAAAGATGCTTCGTCGAAACAATGCCACGCCAAACCTGACCACTGTTGACGTGGCAGATTGAACTTCTGAGGATTGAGGGGTCGCCACGACAAGTGGTAGGGAAGTTGGTTGGCAGAGCGGCAGAGCAGCCACGCCAGCAAGATCAGCGTGCTGAAACTTCCTCACCGTTTATGGTATGATCTGGGAACCATACAGTAACACACGTTATGGCAATTCATTAAAAGTTCTGAGGAACAACGGAGTTGATTAAGCAAGTGAATGGTTCACCGCACCTTCGTTCTGTGTTGTTGTAATGTTAGAGAGATGCATCACAATGACCACTCTGTACCCGGATCTCAGCAGTAAAATTGATGCATGGATAATTGTTCTCAATTCACTTTGATTGCTCCCTAAGGCCAAGAGGAGCAATACCCAACCCACCCATACTATTGAACCTTTCTCTAAGAGTTTACCAGCTGCTTTGACACTCAACGACCATGTCATGGGAGGGTGGGGTGAGGCAAGTTGAAGCTTGAAAGATCTTCAGAGCAGTCACTGAAATAATCAAGGGGCCGAAGAGAACCCGAGGGAGGGGGAAGGGGGAATGAGAAAAAGGTGATGATTAAAGAACATGGTGTGATGGCACACCATGGAATCCCGTGGACAGAGAAGGGGGAGAATGTGACAGGAAGGAGATATGGAAGGAGGGAGATATGGAATAGTGACGAACATCTGCGGATCCGCCGAAATGCGGTTCGCCTTCTTGATGCCCGCCACCTGCTCGCCACACACCTGCTCGCCACACACCTGCTCGCCACACACCTGCTCGCACACACCGCGCACGGTGGGCAGCACATGAGTGTGGAGGGATGGACACAGGATGCGTGCATGAAATGATTCGATTCGATGCAGAAAATGGGCGTGCGCTTGGGAAGGATCGGCAGGAAGGAGAGTGACGAGGTGCACACGAGGCGGGCATGCTAGACGGCGGGAGGGCGGGTGAGGAAGCATCTTGCACAGACTGACGCGAGCATGCTGCGATGCGATGCACTGATTGCGTGCTCATGTGGCATGTGGGTGTTCAGGAAGGCCAAACACAGCTATTGCAGGAGTAGAACCTTCTACAGCGAGATGCGAGAGACATAGATCATCGGACTGATAGCAGCGGAGAGCAATGCTTTAGTTCCGCGCAGAAAGGCAGAGGTGAGGGAAACACACGAGACACAGCGGTAACGACGAGAATATTTAAGTGGGGCACGAGGAGAGCGAGGCGTAGCACACCTGGGCGGCATAGCGGATGGGGATGGCGGCGAGGGTGTGGAAGCGAGTCACCTCGTGCAGCACGCACTGCTGCCCGCCATCCCAGCGCGCGGCGGGAGACACGCTTGGCTCGGCGCCAGGGGAGAAGCCCTGCCTAAGGACATCTGCACGAGCCCCGTGTGACGACCGGGATCTTCAGTGTGACCAACATGCGCCGATTCAGGTCAACGCTTACGCGCTGTATAACACGCTAGGCATGAACCCGTGGTCGTGCGTTTGGACATCCCTCAACCTCTGAAACCTGGGGGGGACGAGAAGAGAGGGGAGAGGGATGGGAGGAGTTAGGGAGAGGGGCATAGGGTAAAGAAGGGATGAGAGAGGGAAGAGGAGATACAGGGAAGGGGAGGGAAAGAGGGGAGAGGGGAGAGATGGAAGAGGGGAGAGAGGGAAGAGGGGAGAGAGGGAAGAGGGGAGAGAGGGAAGAGGGGAGAGAGGGTAGAGGAGAGAGAGGGAGGAGGGGAGAGAGGGACGAGGGGAGCGAGGGAAGAGGGGAGAGAGGGAAGAGGGGAGAGAGGGAAGAGGGGAGCGAGGGAAGAGGGGAGAGAGGGAAGGGAGGAGATTGGACGAGTTGGGAGATGGTGGGCGGTAAAGTCTCGGACTGGGAAAGTGAGGGGAAGTAGCGGAAAATTTGAGGGTAAGAAGAGCGGAAGCTGGAGGGGGGATGAGGGGAAGCAGGGGGCGAGATGAGGGGAAGAGAGAAAGAATCAGGGGAAAAAGCAAGGGAAATGAGGGAAAGAAGGGAGGGGAAGCAAGAAATGAGGGGACACAGAGGGGGAAATGAGGGGAAGCAGGGGGGGGATCAGGGGAAGCAGCGGGGGAAATGCGGGGAAGCAGGGGGTGGGGGGAATGAGGGGAAGTAAGGGGGGAAATCAGGGAAAGAAAGGGGGGAAATGAGGGAAGACAGAGGGGGGGGTGGGGGGACAGGGGAAGCAGGGGGGAAATGGGGGGAAGCAAGGGAGAAATCAGGGGAGGCAAGGGGGGAAATGAGGGGAAACAAGAGGGGGGGGGAGAGATTAGGAGAATCAGAGGTGAAAATTAGGGGAAGCAGGGGGGGGGGGGAAGCAGTGGGGGAAAGAGGGGAAGAACGGGGAAAAATCAGGGGAAGCAAGAAATGAGGGGAAGCAGGGGGTGATTGACGGGAATCAGGGGGAAATGCGTGGAAGCAGGAGGAGAAGTGAGGAGAAGTAGGCTGTGGGGGGGATGTGAGAAAATGTAAATAGAGATCCTTCCAGCCATGGAGGGATGTAGGGAACGTAGCAAGAGGGAATGGCAGGGCAGGGAAGGCAAGGGATGGGCAGGTGAGAGAAGGGCGATGAGAGAGGAGACGCGAAGAGGGTAGCGCGATGGGGGTGCTGGCGCGTTGAGGGGAGGGGAGGCGCGACGAGGGGAGGGGAGCCGCGACGAAAGGAGGGGAGGCGCTACGAAGGGGAAGGGTGGGGGTAAGCGCGACGAGGACTCGGCGTAACGATGGTGCTGTTGCGAGGCGGGGAGGAGAGGCTTCACGAGGGGTGGCAGCGCAACGATGGGAGGGGAAGCGCGACCAAGGGGGGAGCTACCAGGGGAGGGGAGGCGCGACGACTTGAGGCGCTCCGTGGTGAGGTGGCTTCGCTCACCTTCGCGACCACACTGACTAGTGTATCCTTCGTAATGTTTGCGGCGAATGCGCTTTCGCGATAATTGCGGCGAGTAGCTAGCGTCTTACTTTCTGAATTGAGACGAATACGATTTGTCTAACGCAGATTAGGGTTGGGCTTCAACATTTAGCGTGATGGCTCAGGCGGGTTGCAAGGGATAAGAACTGTCGTCAATTCGCACACGCAAAATCGTTTCGCACAAAATCAACATTTTCATCCCATCCAACCCATTTGCACATCCGCACGCAAGATTTACTTGCGCTGCGGCTGTTTGTTCCCATCTCAGAAGCGGACGACACGTGTTTCGAACGGTTGGGATTGCGGTAGGTACCTTCGAGATTACTGCGATCTGCGGTACAGATTCAAAATTGGATTTCCCTCACGAGTGAATTACGGCACCAATCTCATCTCAAGTTCAGTACATGGCCGAGAAGGCAAGGGTGAGGCACGATGAGGTCAACACGGTCATTGCAAGCTGTCAGCCAGAGCTCAGTGAACGCAATACCAGCTACGCAAAGCCACCAATGGCATGTATGGGAGCCATCTTCTCATCTTCTCAGCGTCGGAGTGCACGGCGGAGAAGGCACGGATGTACGGCACGGATTCGTCGACAGCCACCGCAATATATTTTTGTCACCAACCGCGGAGCTGCTCCAGACCAAACGTGTTCCAGATTTTTTCAGAGTGCAGAGCCCTTGCCAAACTTGCAGCCTCACTGTCACCAAGTACTTACCGTATCTTCAAACCAGCGCACCGGCAACCATGGCCCATATGCAATCGACGTTGTCGGCGCGGGACCTCACCTTCGCCGTGCTCTGCTCCGCGTTATGGGTGGCGACTCTCCCACGCATCGCGGATTCAGTTCCTCTCTCGTACGTGCTGAGTCAGATCCGCGACACGTCCAACACGGACGGCAAGCCCGCCGGCATGACCGCGGGAGTGGTGGAGTTCGCCGCCGGATACGACAAGGTGGATGACATTTCCGGAAGCTCGCTTCTTTTTCCCATTAACGAAGGCTGGACTAGCGCGCTCACGGGTTACAAGGCCAAGAACCCGTCTGCCACAACCTCGTCCGACCCGGTTCTCGAGGCGCTCAACACGGTGGTGTCCTCGTCGGGATCCGTGTCGGCCCTCAACGGCATGTCCGCCAACGGCAAGAACGCGCTGTCGCGCCTCGCCAAGTTCATGGCGATCCGCGGCACCATCTCAACCACAGACATGGAAAGTGGCAGCGTGAGTGTCACGGTCCCGCCACTCGTGGAAAGCACAGTATATCATTCTCCCTTGCGTCCCTTGCACCACCATCAGATGGATGTCGCACTCCATTCTCTCCTCGTCATTGCAACTCGCGCATGATCGTCCCATTGTCCATAATGAATACTTTTCCCCCCCAAGCAGTACAAGAACGGGCGGTTCAGCTTCGATACGGAGGTGAACCAGCCAATATACCTGTACGCCAACGTCACTGGCGCGCTCATGTATGCCAGCATCGGGGGCTTGGATCACGTCTTCACTGGGACCGACCGTGGCGCCGTTGAACCCTCTACTTACAAGAAGAATGGACTCATGGCGGGGAGTGATGATGGAACGCCGAGAGCAGCCGCGGATGTGCTAGTGGCTGCTATCTTGACAACCAGCCGTGTTAAAGGTGCCATCAAGACAACCGACTCCGATATGACCGCCATGTTTGTGACTGACGTGGCGTTCCCCGCCAACATGGGCTCGCTTACCAGCTCCGACCCCGTGTCACCGTATGGCAAAGGTGTGTTGTGGGGTGTGGATGCTACAGCCATGCCTTTGAGTCGCTTGCTGCTACTAAGGCAGCTCTTTCCTGCACTGATGTTGCGACAGGTAGTGAGAGGTGGCGTAGATGATGCATGAGTTCCACGTGGACGTGCTCTGGCATGCCACGTTGCTGCTGGTGCATACCAATGCGGTGTGACAGCCGCTGTCTAACTGTGATTTGTTGAAGCAATTTCCTGTCAGCCTAATTAACCAGGTTGTTTTATTTTCTCTGGTTGTGCAGGTGCTAGCAGGTTTTCCCTGTATGGAGAATCCCTGGGTCTGGTTTTTTCTCTGATTGTAGTGATTGTGCTAGTTTAGAGTACAATGAAATCCTTACACCTTTTGGATCGGCACTAGATTGTTAGAGAGTGCCTGGTTTGCAATATTGATAGTACTTCAAACACTTCGCCTCAAGACATTTGTCTTGGCGGTTTGTTTCTGTGAAAGAGCAGGTTCACAACCTACCTAAGGCATTGAAAATATATGGTTACACAATCACAATCCCATTCCCTCATACGGTATCACAACCAATGTGATCATGGGAAGACGACGGGTAGGGGAGGAAGGGGATGAGGGGAAGCAAGGGGGAAACAAGGGAAGTAGGGGAAGAATGAGGAGAAGCAAGGGGGGAAATCAGGGGAAGCAGGGGAGAAATAAGGGGAAGCAGAGGGGAAATGCGGGGAAGCAGGGAAGGAATGAGGGGAAGCAATGGAGAAACGAGGGGAAGCAGGGGGGAAATGAGGGGAAGCAAGCGGGAAAGTGAGGGGAAGCTGGGGAAATAATGAGGGGGAGGGAGAAGAGGGGGAAATGGGGGGAAGCATGTCAATGTACACTCATACATTTGTAGGTGTACATTGTTAGGCTAGGTTGGGTTGTACTGTAGAGGGTATGTGTTGCTACTTGTACCCCGTTGTATGCTGTCAGAATACGAAACAGGAGGAATGATGGACTAAGGATGAAAGGTGATACAAGTACTAACCCTAACAAGGATTGTACCCCTTAGGGAGTGACCCACTATAGCCTAACAGAAACATGCTATAAACATGTTTTGACACACCCCTATAGGGACAACAAGGGGTCACAAGACCAGTCAAGAGATGAAGCAAGACAAAGCAAAGCTCAGGGTGGATCTCAAGATCACCACGCATTCGGAGCACAAGCAAGCGGCCACAAGGCCAGTTCACATGCAGTTATAATAGTAAGAGCAGTACACTGATCACAACGTAGCAAGTGTAAGCATTCAGGTATACTCATATATGTAAGTGCATAACAAGGGCAAGACAAGATCAGGAGACAAGCAGGTGAGGCAGAGTGGGTACAAGCCCATGAGCAATGCAGAAACGCTAATGATCACCAGACCCAAGGCGCTTGGTGAAGACATCAGCAGTGTTGGCCTGTGTGGCCAAAGCTGACCACGCTGCTGGAGCTTTCGCGTGAGGAAGTAACGGAGAGCAATGTGCTACGTTTTGTGCTCAGTCTGGTCCTGACACACTGCAATCATGGCCTTGTTGTCGACGTACAGAATCGGAGGAGAACAAGGCCGCTCACCCAAGTCGGTCAGCAGGTAGGTCAGCCAGCGAAGCTCCTGTGCAGCCAAAGCCCCCGCGGAGATATCGGCCTCACAGCTGGAACTAAGTATAGAAGACGTGCGAGTGGACCTCCACGAGACAGAACCAGCGCCGAGGCTGAAACTGTAACCGTGTGTCGACTGGTGAGTTGTCAGGTCGTCAGCCCAAGAAGCGTCTGAGTGACCGGTGAGAACAACTGAACCCTGTCCTCCAAGCACAAGCCCCGTGCCCGATGTACTGCACAGGTAACGCAGTACCCTCTTCGCAGCTTCTCAGTGCACCTTTCGGTGTCTTCCAGGAGCCACGTAGTGGGCCAGAAGGCTGAGAGGGTACGCGAGGTCAGGTCGAGTGCACGTCATCAGGTACATGAGGCAACCCACAAGCTCTGGATATGGACCACTCGGCTCAAAGGACTCGTCCGAAGGTGGAGCTGAGAAGGAGTGCAGGTGTGTGTCTTTTACAGCTCCGTGTTCACTAGGGCCAGTGCCTCAGTGTCAGCAGTAGCAAAAACCAAGTCGTCGACGTACACAAGAACGTAGATCGGCGGTAGAGAAGTGTGTCGAAGTAGTAACTTAGTTGGTAACCGGGTTTAAGGAGGGCCTAGGCTTAGTAGCCTAGGCCAAGCGGGTATGTCGAGAGGTTTGTGCCAAGGAGGAATGTCGAGAATGATTGTGTTTCACTATAGGTTTACGGAACATATAGCCAAGAACAGAAGGTGCACCACCAAATAAGCAAGGAAATAACTACACTACAACTAACAACAAGCAGTTCTATAAACTATGTAGAACATAGTTTGACACTCCCCCGTAACTGCTTGCAAGTATAAGTGTAGAACGCCCCTTGAGGGGGTGCACCAAGGACAGGGCGGCGTAGTGAAAGACGGTAGAGAGGGAAGTGAGGAGGAGGAAGCGAGAGAGAGATAGGAGAGGAGAGGAGAAGGAACAAAGGAGGAGGTGAATGAGGCATGAGGAGAGGAGGTGGGGGGGTGGCCGCGGCGTCCCCTCTTACTAACCCCCTTTTACGAAGGGGGGGGTGAGTGAGGGATGAGGAGAGGAGGTGGGGGGGTGGCTGCGACGTCCCCTCTTACTAACCATCCTCACCCCCGGGCTCTGCTGGCTGGGCGGGGTCTCTGTTGGCGGGGGTCTGTGCTGGCGGGGGTCTCTGCTGGCGGGGGTCTCTGCTGGCGGGGTCGCTGCTGGCGGGGGCTCTGCTGGCGGTGTCGCTGGCGTTGTAACTGCTGGCGGTACCGGAGGCGGCTGGCGCTGGTGCTAGTGCCTGGTGTCGGTGTTGGTGCTCATACTGGCGGACGTCCCGCCGTCACCCCTTCCCCCCTTTTCGCCTCCCCCCCACAGTGCTCCGCCGCCACTCCCTTCCCCTCCTCCCTCTCCCCCCCAAAGCAACCGCCGCTGCACCTGCGAACAGTCGCGACGGGGGGGGGGGGGGGGGGGGGGGAGACGAGTAGGGGGTGGGCGAGCGGGCAGGTTGTGCGGGCAGGGGGCGAGCGAGCAGGCGGGTTGCGCGGACTGGGTGCGCAGGCTCCAGGTGCAGGCGGCCGCCGCTGGCGTGTCCAGCTGGCGCGTCGGTTGGCAAGGTGGCTGGTGGTCCGCCGCCACGCCCTTCCCCCTTCCCTCTCTCCCCCCACATTGCGACCGTCGCTGCACACGCTTACAGCTGCGACGTTGGGTGACGAGCAGGGGCCGGAGGGCCTTCGATCGAGCAGGACGCAGGTCTCCGCTGGCGGTGGTTTGCGTACAGACGACAGGGTGTGCGCGGAACGCAGGGCGAAGGGCGAACGTGCAACGTACGACGATGCAGGTGACGGGCGACCACGCGACTAGATGGGCGACGCGCAACAGAAGCGGATAGATCGCGGGCGGCGGGCTGCAGAAGCGGGTATCGCGCGAGCGACGGGCTGAAGGCAGGGAAGCCCTCACGAGGCGCACTACGGGCTGCACAACGTGGCGTGCCATGGCGAGAGGCTAGCGGTGGGCCCATAAAAATCGGTCCTTAGGAAGGAACTGCTCTATACCATGTTACGAAACGAGCTAAACTAGGAGCCGGGTTTAGGAGAGGGCCTAGGCTTAGTAGCCTAGGCCAAGCGGGTTCAAAGAGTTTTGTGCCAAGGAGGATTGTCGAGAATAATTGTGTTTCACTATAGGTTTACGGAACATATAGCCAAGAACAAAAGGTGCACCACCA